TCTTGCTGATTTTCCTGACATCCATATAGATTCTACTTATCAGCCTTTTATCAGATGAGTAGCATGTGAATATTTTCTCCTATTCTGTAGGTCTGTTTTCTCTTGTGATAGTTTCCTTGGCTGTGCAGTAGCTTCTTAATTTGATCAGGTCCCATTTATTTGGAATTGATAAAAAAATTTAGCAAAGTTTCAGGTTACAAAATCAATGTACAGAAATCAGTAGCATTCCTATATGTCAACAACAGTCAAACTGAGAACCAAATCAAACACTCAATACCCTTCACAATAGCAACAAAGAAAATAAAATACCTAGGAATATGTTTAAGTAGGTAAAAGATCCTATAGGGAGAACTATGAAACACTGAGGAATGAAATAGCAGAGGACATAAACAGATGGAAAACCATACCATGCTCATGGGTTGGCAGAATCAATATTGTTAAAATGTCTATACTACCCAAAATGATCTACAGATTCAATACAATCTCTATTAAAATATCAACATCGTGTTTCACAGATCTAGAAAAAAATAATGCTATGTTTCACATGAAACCAGAGAAGAAGACCCTGTATAGGAAAAGCAATCTTAAGCAAAAAGAACAAATTGGGACACATCAAGGTACCAGACTTCAAGCTATACTACAAGGCTATAGTAACTAAAACAGCATGGTACTGGCACAAGGACAGAGACATAGACCAATAGAACAGAACTGAGAACGCAGATATAAAACCATCATCATTGTTTTATGTAATCTTTGGCAAAGCACACAGAAACATACACTGGTGAAAAGAATACTTATTCAATAAATGGTACTGGGTAAATTGGATAGCCACATATAGAAGACTGAAACAGGATCTGCCCCTCTCACTTCTCACAAAAATCAACTCACGGTGGATAACAGACTGAAACCTAAGGCATGAAACTATAAGAATTCTAGAAGAAGATGTTGGAAAAACTCTTATAGACATTGGCCTGGGGAAGGATTTTATGAAAAAGACCCAAAAGGTAATCACAGCAACAACAAACATTCTTTTCTTTAAATATTTTTAAAATCACATAGTAACACATAATCATTGTATTAAAATTAGTGAAAAGAAACTGGAATCCTCTTACATTGCTGGTGAGAATGTAAAATGGTACAGATGCTTTTTGAAAACAGGCAGTTCCTCAAAAAGTTAAACAAGAAAGTTACCATATGACCCAGAAATTCCCTTCCTAAGTTTAGACCAAAGAGGATTGAAAACATGTATCTACACAGAAACTAGTGCATGAATGTTCATGGCAGTAATATTCACAATAGCCAAAAAGTGTAAACAACACAAATATCCATTAAGGGTAGATGGATAAACAAAATGCAGTGCATCCATACAATGGAATATTATTTGGCAATAAAAAGGAATGAAGTACAGATATATGGTTGAACTGCTAAGATATCCTGCTAAGTGAAAGAAGCTAGACACAAAAGTCCACATATTGTAGAATGTACAGAAAAGGCAAATCTATAAAGACAGAAAGTAGATTTTTGGTTGCTTGACAATGAGGGTGGGAATGGATAGTGACTGCAAATGGGCATGAGGGATCTTTCAGGGTGATAGAAATGTTCTAAAACTAGGTTGTGATGATGATTGTACATCATTGTAAATTTACTAAAAACCACTGAATTGTACATTTAAAACAGGCTAATTCATGAAGTGTAAAACTGTATTTCTTCTCTATGAATCCCCCTTGCAGACCATCATCCATATACTTTCTGTGCCCACCACTTTACTGAATTTGCTTTCCCGAAGGTCACCTGTGATTTCAAGCTTTCAAGGCCATTAACGGTCATCTTCTTATCTTCCATGATGGCTCACTGGTGGATTTCTCCTTCTACCACTTCAGCTGCTTCACCCTTTAGTGTCTTTTGCTGGTTCTTCTTCCTCATCCTACCCCCTGGCTAAGTGTTTGACAAGTCTTCTACAAAGAATCCACTTGTATCCTTCACTAACTTCAAATACAACATATCCGAATTGAAAGTTATCATCATCTCCACCAAACCAGTTCCCCTCCTCAGCTGCCTCATCTATGTCAATAATTTTTTTAAATCACTGGAGTTGAGAGTTATTTTTGATTTATCTTCTTCCCCCAAGTTGTAGTCACCAAGTTTTCTCTACTTTGCCCTCAAAAAGTGTCACATATTTGTCAGCAAATAATCTGAACCAACAATTCACATAAGAAGCAATACAGGTATTCAGTAAACACATAACAAATCTTCAAAGTAGAATGATCAAAGTAAGCAAATTAAAAATATAATAGGTCCCATTTACGCCTATGGCATTAGAAAAAAAAAATTTCAATGACAACAAAATTTTGGGAAACTGGTATCCTCATATATTGCTAATGGAAGTGTAAAACACCTCCTGGGGAAAGCAGTTTGGTGAAATCTATAAAGAACCATAAGAATGTTCACATTTGAACTAGTGCTCCCGACTCCAGGTAATTATTTTTAATGAGCTAATTCAAAATGAAAAAAAAAATATAGCTACTCAAAATGTTTCTGCAGCATTACTTTTTAATAACAAGAAACTGGAAACAACCTAATTACCCAACAATTTGGGAATGATTAAGGAAATTAGAGCACACTAAGCTGGTGAAATACTATACAGCCTCTAAAATTATGACTATTGAGGAAGTCTGCATAGCAACATGGAAAACTGTTTATCAGGTAGGGCTTAGTGAGGAAAAAGAAGCAGGACACAGAAAATCACATCTACATAGTCATTATAATCATGTCAAAAATAATCTCTATACGTATAGATGAAGCTGGCAAGGAAATGAAAAAAATCAGTGAGTTAAGGTGATAGGAATAAGGCTATTTTTATTTTTAATTTCCTGTAATATTTTTTTCACAATAAACAAACTTCCCTCCCCCCCAAAAAATCATACATATCTATGTATCCCTTCTGCTCCATTTCTATTGCACCTCCACCTCCCCCCAGTCCAGGGTCACGCTCTTTCATGCATGGATCACTGCCCTTAACCGGTCTTCCTTCAGCCCATCTAGGCTGCAAATGCTGCCAAGTTGCCTAAAGCTCCACATTTATGAGATTACTTACCTGATTGGTAACCTTTAGTTGCCTCCATGTTTGTGATCCTATCTAGTTCTCAAGGCCTGTCTAGCCTGGCCCAGTGCTTCACTATTCACCTTCCTTCTCTACATCTACTGCTGCTGCTGCTCCTCTTCCTCCTCATTACAGCTAACATTTCCTGAGCATTTACTCTGTCAGGTTTTATTATAAATGCTTTACATATATTAACTCATTTGGTCCTCACAACAACAATTTGAGGTTAGGACTCTTACCTGATTTTACAGATAAGGGGAGAAATAGAGAGAGACAGAGATACAGAGGGAGAGAGATATCTCCAGTGTCTCTGATTTCTCCAAGGACAGGGTGCAAGTGAGTCCAGAGCTAGGGGGATCAAGACCAGCTCTAGAATTCTGTAGAATCCCCACCCAGGACTTAGACCCCTGAGACATGATGCTGAGGTATCTGTCTGAAGGGTTTCCTTAGTGATCCTAATTAAAGCAGGAATAATGGAAAAAGCAGGAACTGTGCGGCCCCACAAACCTGGGTCTGAATCCTGGCTCCATCACTTACTAGCTGTGTGACCTCAGCTAAGTTACATAAACTCTCTGGATCTCATGTACAAACTGGGTAGCAAAATGAACTGTTGTAGAGAATAAATGATATTATGGGTGTAAAAAGGTCCATCCTAGTGAGTGACACTTAGTAGATCGTCAACAAATATTGGGTTCCTCCTTTTCCCCACTGCCAACCAGAAAACTGATAGGTTACCCAGACTTTGGAGCCCAAGGAAAGCCAAAATTATCTCTGACTACAGCACCAAGTCACAGAGGTTACTGTGGACACCCACAAAGAACTCTGGACTCTTCAGGGGTCAGGAGATCCAGATTATGCTCCTCTCCCTTGGTGCCTGCACCTGGGATAACAGAGATACAACCTGGAGCCTTCTTCCCTGTCTCTTTCTTTATCCCTGGAGTTTGAGTTAAGAATCATTATCATTTAGGGGCCTCTTAAATTATATTGGGCTGAGAAGAACTGGCTGAATGAGTATATCAAGGAGTTTCACAAAAAAGGAGGGTATAGCTAGGCTGATAGAGAACAACTCATGAGAAGGTAACTGTTCCTTATAGTCACCTAGGGCAGGTGGGCCTATCTCTGGGGAACAAGAGTGCCGGGGCCACGGTCCCCACATTATGGGAGTAGGTTCTCCACCCTGGGCATTTTTTTCTTAAGAGCTATGCCCAAGCAGCTCTTTTCCCTTTAGCCTGAGCCACGTGTGCCATTTATAAAAGTGCCCCTGCCTTCCTCCAGAAATTTTAACCCATGGTCACTATGATCTTACCTGATTTTACAAATAAGGGGAGAAAGAGAGAGAGACAGAGACAGAGGGAGAGAGATATCTCTGGTGTCTGATTTCTCCAAGGACATGGTGTAAGCTATTAATGAGCAGATTTTAAGTTCTCAACAAGTACTATTAAAAGAAAGTGGCAGAACCCAAGAAATAGGTACTCCAACAACTCTGGGGCAAAGGCACAGCAGTAGCCGGACAGTCCTACCTCTTCTCTGCCCACTCCAGTTGCCCCATGGCCACTGGCAAGTCACAGGCATAGTTTGTGACTTCTCATTTCCGTTTCAGCACAGTCTGGTCCCCCGTGTCCTTGTGCCTGGCCAGGGCTGCCTCAGGCCTCTGAGCTGATGGCCACAATGTCCCACAATACTGCCCGACTACTGCATATTCCAAAATGCCCTATCAGTCACATTGGTCTGTACCCAGCTGTCTGCGGGGCAGGCTGAATTTACATCTATGGCATCAAGACCTACATATGGGAACCAGACCAGTTTCCTGAAAGGAAGCTAAGCAAACCAAAGACCGTAGCAATTTCTACAGAAGCCCCAGAGGCAGCAACTCATCCCAACTCCCTCAGTGGTCACTTACCTTCCTGACTGGCTGGTCTTCCTGTTTCCTGTTATTGGTTTCCATTTGTCCCCAGGAAATTCCTGCAAAGCAAAATCCAATAAGTTAGGGAACTCTGAGCAGCCAGGAATCTAGCTGGCCTCAAAGATGTGAGGAGGTTGGGAGCCTGTTCCCAGCCAGGCCCCCCAGCTGGTTCCTTCTACTCTCCTAGGCAGGCTGGAGAAATGTGTACCTGGAGGGCTGTCTTTTTGTCGAGAGGCCTGCTAAGCTGCTGCGGGCACTCAAGAGACTAGGAGAGCACTCAGGGACCTGGACACTGTGGTCTAGAAATGCTGTTTCCCTCTTTCTCCACTCCCCTCCCAAACCACGTTAAAAACCAGTTTAGCACGTTTGCTGTTTGCTCTGGCTCTTGCCTGCATCCAGGGATGAGGGACGGAGGGCTTTTTGTTTGTTTTCCTAGGTGAACCTGCTCATTCCTCCTGCCTCTTCCAACAGAGAAAGCAATTTCTTGGAAGGCCTGGCTCTTGAGGGGGCTTTGTGGGAGGAAGCTCTTGCTGGAGGGACCCTCCTCCTGGGAAAGACAAAGGGAGAGCGGGCGTGCCCTTGTGCTGCAGTGGCTCTTCCTTCCTTGCCCACTCTGCTGGCATGGGCTGAGGTGGACTCATCTCTAGGGAACATGAGAGCTGGGTGCCACGGTCCCCACATTATGGGAGTAGGCTCTCTGCCCTGGGTGTTTTTTCCTTAAGGACTATGCCCGAGCCCCTCTTTTGCTTCTAGGCCAAGCCATTTGTGCCATTTATAAAAATGTCCCTGCTTTCCTATTCTAGCTCCAAACTGAAAGGACATTAGCCTTTTGGATTCTTCCTGATTTTGTATCCAGCACCTTCTTCCTAGAGACTCAGAGCCTAGCCCAATGGGAATGCACAGTTTTTCCTAAACCTCATTGATCTTCCCGATTCCCTCTTTCTCCAATGCTATTATTATTAGTCTCATTCAGAGTTGTATTACCTTTGCCTCAGTAGGCCTCCCATTTGGGGGTAAGATACCTGGTGAAATGGAATAAACACAGGTTTTTGGTGTCAGTCATACTGGCTAAGACACTCATTAGCTATGTTATCTGGCAGAACTCATGTCATCTCCCTGAACCTCAGTTTCCTATCTGGAAAATAAGAATTATGTTATCTAGTTTTTCTGGGTTGCCAGTTACGAGGACAAAATGAGATGTGCAGAGAGAACACTTAGCACAATGCTTAGCACATAGGAGGCTCTGGATGTTAGTAGCCACGGAAAAGTTGAAGTTTATTTCCTGGCTCTAGCTTTTACAGAACCAGAGCAGCTCCTGCCTGTATCTGACACATCAGAGCAGCTCTAATCACTTGCACTTCAGACTCTGCCTCAATGCCCTTGTGAGATGTTCCTCCCTGCAAAGACACCATTACTTGTTCAGCCACAATGGGAGCCAGGATTTCCTGTCCAAGGCCTGTCCAGCCCTGTGGATGTGCTCAGTAAATAGCAGTGGCCAAACCGAGCAAAGTCTTGTACCAACTCCCAACTGCCTTCTCAGGTCCCCAGTATCACTTTACTTTTTGTCCTGAGCCACTTATGTTCCTGTAAATTGCCTACACCGTTTGAACCAAACAGGCAGTCATCCCCACAGCTTGTTGCAGATGGATGTTGTGGTGGAAACTAGCTCGCCCAGTGGAAGTGATACTGTTAGAAGGCATTGGCATTCTGCCACTCTGGAGAGGGCCTGGAGAGGGCTTTGCGATCAGCTTGTGGAGAGATAGCGTAGCATAATCGGGAGCTTGGCCTCTGAAGCTACGCAGCGTGGATTCAAATCCCACACCTGCCCTTCACTAGCTGTGTGGCCTCTGGGAAGCTACTCAACTTCTCTTTGTCTCAGTTTCCCAACTATATAATAGTGTCATCATAATAAGGGTGCCTATTTCTTGACTGCTTGAGGACTCGAGTTGATATGTGTAAAGCACCTAGAACAGTACCTGGTGCCCAGTAGACACTCAAATGCTAGTTACTGTCACGTTGTCCAAATCTTGGCTCTGCCACTTGCTAGGTGTGTGACCTCTCTGAGCCTCGGCTTCCTCAGCTGTAAAACGGGGGATCCCATTATAACTTATATAACAGTTAAGTGAAATAATCTGACAATATATGCAAAACCAACTGGCATGAAGTATGAGGGATCTGAGTGCATGCTGATTTCAGTTCTCCTAACAGCACTGAACAGGAGCCAGTGAGCTTGCCAACCTGGTCCAGGGGTGTAAGGAGCAAGATCTCAGCCCTGCTTCACCCAGCCACCACCACAAAGTACGTTAGTCATCATAGCTGGAGCATCTTAACCCATGCTGCAAGTTTTCCCCATGTCTTATGGAAGGGGGCGGCAGTGGAAGGAAGGTTCAGGTGGCAAGGGTGGAAATGGGCATGCAGTGGCTCCTAGACAACCATCCAAGTGTCTGAAAGCCTAGTGTCTAAGCAGACCTGCTTAGCTAGTCTAACAGGCATTAGGAAGCCAATGTGTCTCTCCCTCAGTGTACAAAGGGAGAAGCATGGTACAGGCACAGGCTCACCTGCATTGCTGAAACCTGCAATTTGTACCTCCTTCCCTTACAGGGATGTCGTCTTTGCAGCCATCATCTCCTCACCACCCCCTCAACCTCAGGCCTCTTTCTCTATTGCCTACTTGTGGGTCCATCTTTCAGCAGAAGTTTCTCAAACTAAGCCAAAATCTCCCTTTATTTTAAGAGATAATAATTCACTTATAAGATGATTACTATCTGGCAATCTTTGTGCCTTTCACATGTTATATCTTTTAATCTTCACAACCAACTTACAAAGGAGGTGTTGTTATTGTCCCCATATTTTAGATGGGAAAGCTTAGATGCTGTAAGTTCCAGGGAAGGAATTCGAACGTAGGCACTCTGCTTCCAGTTTCAGTGCCCTTAAATCATTATTTTCTCTTTCCTCTCTTCATTGTTCAACATTATGAGTATTTTCAAACATACTGAAAAGTTGGAAGAAGTTCCTAGTGGACACCCATATACATACCACCTAGATTTTATTTTTAATATTTTGCTATACTTACATTATCATATCTCTATTTACCCCTCTATCCATCCATCAGTCCATCTTAAATTCTAGATGCATTTCAAGATAAGTTTCAAACAACTGTATCCCCATCAATTTGAAAACTTAAATGAAATGGACAAATTCCTTAAAAGACACAAACTACTAAAGCTTAATCAAGAAAAAATAGATAACCTAAATGACCCTCTATCTATTAAAGAAATTGAATTTTTAGTTAAAAACCTTCCTACAAAGAAAACTCCAGGCCGAGATGGCTGCAATGATGACTTCTACCAAACATTTAAGGAAGAAATAATACCAATTCTATACAGATTCTTCCTGAAAAAAGAAGAGAAGGGAATACTTCCCAACTTATTCTTTAATAAGGCTAGCATTGTCTTGATATGAAAACCAGACAAAGATGTTACAAAAATCCTACAGGCTAAAATCCCTGATAAACATTGTTGCAAAATCCTTAACAAAATACTATCGAATAAAATCCAGTAACATATAAAAAGGATAACATATCATGACCATGTGGGATTTATCCTAGCAATGCTAGGGTGGTATTTATTTCAAAAATCGATCAATGTAATTCACCATCTCAGTATACTAAAAGAGAAAAACTATATGATCCTCTCAACAGATAGAGAAAAAGCATTTGAAAAAATTCCAACAGCCACTCCTGAATGGAAAGTCTCAGTAAAATAAGAATAAAAAAAAATTTCCTCAATTAAAGGGCATCTACAAAAAACCCTACAACTAACATCAAACTTAACAGTGAAAGTTTAAGAACAAAGCAACAATGTCCACTCTCACCACTTCTCCTGAACATTGCATTGGAAATTAGTGCAATAAGACTCCTCTCTCTCCCAGAAAAGGGCATACACAGTGGAAAAAAAGATATAAAATTCTTTCTATTTACAGATGACATGATTGCCTACATAGAAAATCTTTCACAATCTACCAAAAAGCTACTAAAACTAATAAGTGAGTTTGGCAAGATTGCACAACACAAGGCCAATACACAAAATTCAATTGTATTTCTATGTAGTAGTAACAAGGAATTTTACCTTGACATTAAGAAAACAGTACTAACTATAATAGCATCAAAAAACATGAAATCTTAGGGACAAATATAACAAAATATGTGCAAGATTTGTATGCTGAAAATATAAATTGTGTACCATGGTGTACTTCAAAAACACTTCAGCATACAAATTAAATAAAGTATGATATTTGTTCAAAATATTTTTAGGCAAAATTTACTTCCTATGAAATCCAAAAATATTAAGTCCATTGGCTGTCTAGGAGGCTTGCTGTATATTTGTTGAGTTCTGATGAATACACATGTGTAACTCAAACCCTTATCAAGATATAAAACACTGTCATCGCCCCACAAAGTTCCCTCATGCTCTTTTCCAGTCAATCTCTGTGCCACCTCCCATAGGCAAGCGCTATTCTGAATTTTTGCCCCATAGAATAGCTGTTTTAGAACTTCATATAAAAGGAATTGTAGAGTATGTATTCTTTTGTGTAAGGCTTCTTTCACTCCTAAAGTTCCTTTTTTCCAAGAATATATATTAAGCAGATTCATCCACTAAATCATTTCAAAAGTGTCCGCCTATGCAACAGTTCAACATAGGAATTAACTTCTGGTTTGAGTGCACCAGCCAGAAGGTGGCACTAGGAATGCCATGGGGAAGGAAACTGGCAGTGAGCGGGTAAGGACACAGGGGATCGATCCTCCCAGAAGTACCCTGGGGCATGGTGGTGGCTTGTGTTAGGGTGGCAGGTCATAACCAGGGCGTAGCAGCAGCCAGTTTAGACCTGAGTCTCCAACAGACAGGCTAGAGAAGGGGGAAAGGATTTGTCCTTTGAAAAACCACAGAAGTCAGATCTCTGAAGGCAAAGCCTAGGACATTTGCAGATTTTGCAGCTCCAAATAGTTTTGAAGCAGGAAATAGAAGGCAATAAGTGCTATTTTATATCATGCACTGGGCCTGGCACTTTATATACCCACAATCTCATCTGATCCTTAAAACCGATCCATGAGGCAGCCATGATTTTCCTCCACTTTAGAGATGAGGTAATAAGACTTTCTTTAATACCAGCTACTTTATGAAGTAAAAATTACTTTTTTCCCTTTAAAAATCATGTAATTCCAAATTCTAGTGGTTGAATGACTTGCTAAAGGTCACTCAGATATCAATTTTACAGTCAGGATATAAATTCCAGTTCTGTCCATTTTACAAAGCAAAAGTTACTTTTATCTGACTCTAAAGATGAGGTAATTGCAATTTTGGTGGCCAAGTGTCTTGCTCAAGGTTACTAAGCTATCATCTGGTAGAACTAGGCTATACAGTTTTAAGGAATTACAATTGTTATATTTTCAAATACAGCAATTACAGTTTTCTCTTCACAAAGAGAATAATGAAGCTCACCCACTCAAGAACCAAGTCCTCACCTGCACTGTCGGCTTCCTGGGTTTCCAAGTGCTGCCAGGTGCCAAGTTGCTGTCCTCGAGGTTACCGTGCTGAGGATTATGATAGCAAGCTGAACACCGAATGCATTGGTGGTGGTGGCACCGGCAGTTGTAGCAGTTTGGCATCATATTTCTCTTTAGCAGGGCAGGGCAGATTTCCCCAGAACAATAAATGCAAGGGTCATGGACTATAGTTCCCTGTACGTTGCAGGAGTAAGAGCAGGTCCTGTGGTAATCAAAATCACCACAGTGCAGTGGCTTACAGCACATGGAATTTTCTAGACCTTTGCTCACAAAGCATTCAGAGTAAGTGGGAGTTTCCGACTGATGGGGTGACATGGAATGATATGATTGGTCTGTAGCATGACATGGTTGGTCTGTGGAATGATATGATTGGTCCATGGGATGGCGCCTCAATTCCCTATAGCTGGAGCTCACTGGCTGGAAATTTTGGTCTATAGGTTTTAGTCTCTGGGTAAAAGCCTTGTTATTATAAGTGGTTAAACCTGGCAAATGGGACATAGATAAGGATTTGCTACTCTCTTCAAAGAACTTTCTTCTGTCTGCGAAGGGCAAGAGGATGGCTTCCTCCCCAGCTTGGGCAGTAGAAGCCTTCAATTCCTTGTTGTCACCTGGGCTGGAAGGGCCTTCCATGGCTAGTGCCACATGTGGCTGTGGGTTATGCTCTGGAGACCATCTCCAGTGACCTCCACGGACTCCACGGGGAGCACTTGCTTTCTCGGAGTCTGAGAAGGATGGGTCAGATGCTTTCCACCAGGTGTTTAGGCCCAAAGAGGACTGGCTAGGCTTCTGGCCAGGGCTTATTTGTCCCTCCAAGCCTGTCCTAGATTCATGGATCTCAGGGGTTTGGCTGAGGCACTCAGACGACCTAGCCCTGAGTATCATGCTTTTGTTGACAAGCTTGTCTCTGGGGCTAGGGGGTTTTTTATATGAAGATAGAAGAGATGAATTAGAGGAAGGGAGTGGAGGGCTTTCTAGGGGCTCCTGGGTATCTTCCACCTGCTCCCTAGTGTCACACAGCTGTGACAAGGGACCCTTGCTTTTCTGGAGCTGGGCTTTCCTCCTCTGAATTTCATTACGCAAATTAGTGGCAAAACGCTCACTCTTCCGCCGGTTTTGGATTGAGCGGCCCCGGGTCCCTCCGCTTCGCTTACCACCCATCCGGCCACACTCCTTGGGCTCATTGTCTCCTTCTTCAGTTGACTCTGTGCCGCTGGCTACCTTAGTGGTTGAAGAATAGTCCTTAGCTTGGTGGACAAGGGAGCCAGAGGCAGAGGGCTGCTGGCTGGCCAATTCACTGCCTGCTCTGCTTGCTCTGTTTGGGTCCAGTAAACTTCTTTCTGGAGGGTGTCCATCAGCCTCTCCATGTGGGGAACTGCTTTGGCTCTGGTGTCCTGAACCCAAAGGCCTATCATCCACTGGCCTGGTCTTTCTTTCTTTGCTGGGATGGTCCTGGGTTCCTTCTGTAGCGGGACATGGACTTTTCTTCCCTTTGTGGCTGCTGTGCAAAGGGGACAGAGTCCACTGGTGCCCATCCTGCCCAGCTGGGAGCTCCATCCTCTTGTTGCCCCTGGTATCAAGGTGCACATGCTGCAGGTGGGATGCCAGCAGCTGTTCAGGGGCACTATGGCGATGCGCTGTGAGTCCTGTGAGGTGTGGAGGGCTGCCAAAAGAAGCCTTAGGTAGCTCTGCTGAAGCCTCATTGAGTGGGCTGGAATCCATGCTAAAAGCTTTGTCACACGCTTTGGGGGATCCAATGGCTTTGGTTGAGGCCTGCATCAGTAGATGCTCAGAGCCCTGCTGGCTGCATTCAGGAGGTTGGCTGAGCTCACAGTTCTGATGGCCCTCACTTGTCACTTGATCTTGTCCACCGAGGCAGCAGAGCCTCTTGGGGTTCCTTGGAGATAGCACTGTCTCTACTCTGAGTTTCTCCTTCTGTTGCAGGGGGTCCATAGGCTCGGATGCCCTGTACTGTTCTCCATTAAGGAATTGGGCTCTGGAAGCCTGAAGGCTGTCCCGCCTCACTGGAGGTGGTGGTGGGCCCCTGACCACCTTGGCAGGCCCTGCGTGTTGGCTCTCCTGTGGGAGGGATGACGTCTGGGAGCCGGTGGTCAGGTGGCTGCCGTTGGTGCACTGGCTACCTCCTGAGGTCTCAGCCACATTAGGCCGGCCATTGGGGGCCTTGGCTGGCCCTGGGCCTTGCACAATACAGTCTGCAGAGGCTGGATCCTCTGGTCTGAGGGAAAGGGCACAGTCAGAGGCATTTGAGCTGGCTGAGAAGGAACTGTAGGCTGAGTCACGCTGGTTGGGGTACATGTTCTGGTCAATGGGCAAGAGGTGTCCCTCATAGGTGGCTTGGCCTGGTTGCTCCAGGCTCTCCATGCTGCCAATGGAACTGCTTTTCTCGGTGCTGCAGTGCCGGGAGAGTGGACACCACTGCACACACACGTCACTGCAAGACACAAGGCCCATGGGTTAGTTAGCGAAGTTACCAGATCTCTTTCCCAGCTTGGCCAGCCCTGCCACGGGAGGAGGCAGGACAACCCAGAGGCACCCACGCTACAGATGAGGGGAGATTAGGCAAAATAAGAAGAAAGGGAAACAGGCAAGGAGATGGATATGGGGGCGCCACAGGGGCATGGTAAAACTGGAGATAAGATGACATGTGGAAGAAGAATGGGGAAACACCATGAAGACTAAACGTTAGAGAATTTCATAGGGGTTATTCTCTATTTCCCTGCCATCAGCACGTCTGAAATTGCTTCTAGGCTGTCCCTGTCCCCAGGGAGTCAGTATGTGGCTCTCTGTCAGCAGAGACGATCACAGAATATCAGCATTACAGAGGGGCCCGAAAGGGTGGATTCAATTTTAACCAGATCATTTTGTAAATCAGTGATTTTCAACTTGAGCATGTGTCATGATCACATGAAGCGCTTGTTAAAACACAGGTAACTGGGCCTTATCTAGAGTTTTAGATCTGGGTGGATCCTGAGAATTTGTACTTCTAACAACTTCCCAGGTGCTGGTACTGCTGGTCTAGGGACTGCACTTCTGAGAACCACTGGTTCAAAGCAAGCCCTGCAAAGGGAAATCATTCTGAGGCAGTACTCTACTAAAGATCACCCAGCTCTAACTGTTGGCGCAGACGAGGCTGGAATTTAGGTTTTCCCCTACTCTTTTCTTGCTGATAGCAATCCTGACTCTTTACTGAGAACCTACAATGTGCTTGGCACTTTATAAGGTTTTATTTCAAGCTGAAGGGGACAGATTATTAGTCCTACCTTACAACTGAGGAAACGGAAGCTTAGAGAGGTAAAGTAAACTGGCAAGCTCACTGAGCTGCTAAAACAGCAGAGCTGGAATTGGAACCCAGGCTTCTGTGAGTCTAGCATCTTAGCTCTTCTGCCATACATCTTTTAAATGGGAATCATAGTAATATCTGTATCAGAGGGGTTGCCGTGTAGATGAAACCAGGTAATAAATGGGAAGCTCTCATCTCAGCCCAGGCACCGAGCAAGGGTTCACTGCATGCTCCTGCTGCTATTTGGTTTTTCATTGCTGTTATCAACATCCTCTCTGCTACTAGTATTGATATTATAGTGGTCCCTGCCCACTGACACCTCCCTCACTCTGCACGGCAAAGCCAAACCGGGGAGACCAAAGAAAGGGGGAGGATCAGATGCAATCTTGAATTTTAAGTACCACTTCCCACACACAAAGCCAAACTGAGCCAAGTCATGCCAGTAACTCCCTCTGACCAGAACCCCAGAGGTTGCAGGCTGCTCTCAGAAAGGCCACAGTTGAGCTGTGGCAGCAGCCAATGAGACCCCCAGGTCAGCTTCCTCTAATTCTTGCTCTCTGCCTTGCCCTTAGCCATTCTGTTCACTTGTCCTGTGGGCTAGGAATCCATTAATTCCTCATTGGCAAAGGAACCTGCTACCCGCCCCACCACCCTTCCTGCTGAAAAAAAAAAAAAAACAAACAAAAACAGAAACCATACACACACCCCTACTCAAACAGGAGCCAAGCTCAGAATGTGTTCTGTGTATTCTTCCAGAACAACATTGCCTCTGCCCTGATCCCCTGGCTTCCAATGCCAAATAAAGTCCGTGAGTCAGGGCAAACTCAACCCTCAGCTTCCCTGAACCTCCTCAACAGAAATCCCTTTGTGGAGGAAAGATCTTGTTGTGGAAGGGAAAAGGCAGCCAAGGCCAGCGTCTTTGCTGGCTTGTGCAGAAAACATTGTCTGCCTCTTGGGCAGCTGTTTCAACCACAACAGGCAACACCAAGGTCCCTGAATGAGTGATCCCTCTTTCGGGTAGACCCTGTTATTCAGGGAGGTCTCCATTTTAAAAGCTTTGGCTCTGTGGCAGAGGTGATGAACAACAGATGAGGTCACCAGTGAGTTGCGTAGATAGAACACAGGGCCAGAACTGACCCCTGGGGTCCTCCTACATCAAGAGATAGGCAGATGGGAGGAATCAGGAAGAGACTGAGAAAGAGCAGCTAGTGAAACAGGACGAAAAGCAGGACAGTGTGGTGTCTTGCAAGCCAAATGAGGTATCGTAAGGAAACATTGTCCAAAAGGAAAGGGATTAGCCCAAAGACACAGAGAGTTAGAAAGAAACTAGGACTAAAGCCCAGGTACTTTGGATTCCCACTTCATTTTCTGCTCTTTAACATCCAACAGGGACTAAAGCAGAGGAGGAAGAGGCCAGGTTGTCCACCCTCCAGCCCATCCTGAGGGGAGGGCTCTAGACTTACCTTGTGTTGCAGCCGGAATGCCAGGACAAGCTGAAGGCTTCAGAAGGGAAATGCATGGTGGTGGCCGCTTCAGGGCATCCCTCCAGCAGCTTGGCCACATGCCATGAGTGCGGCCTACTGACAGGGGCGTTCCTCCTGCAGCAAGAAAGGGACAGGAAGTTGGCTTAGGGAACCAGCGCTGAAATCACTTCCCAGGCGGCTTCCGCCCCCACCCCCTCTTTCCCTTTGGTGAAGTAGAACATCTTGCAAGGAGCTGGAGTGGGAATCTTAGTGGCCCTCATCAGCTCTCAATACTCGAATCTCCTTCATACTAAGATATGGAATACCAGCTCCACAGGGCTATTTTGTTCACAAAGTGTCAAGCATGAACAACAGTGCTGGACACATACTTGATGTTCAATAAATATTTGTGGAATAAATGAGTGGTGCTGCCCAATGAACAGTGAGCTTACCCTCACTTCTCCTTGAGGGAAAAAAATCAATCTCGCCAATCTAGCCAATTTTTCTCTGAGAAAGGAATACGCAAGTGATTGAGAAGTTTGCACAAGTCAATACTGGGCTGTCAGTTCTCCAATTTTTACTCATTCATTCAATAAACATTTGTTATATATTTACTGTGTTCCCTCTATGTGTAGTTCTGGGAATACTGAGATGAATCCAACACAGTCTTTGCTCTTGAGAGCTTACAGATGAATGAGAGAGACAGAGCATGGTAAAGGCATTATGAGAGTGAAGGATAAGATGGGCACAGAGGCGAGACACCTGAGTTTGTCAGCAAAGTGGTGGCAGGGAGCCCCAACTCCTGTAAGGGAGGACAGAACGAAGTGCCGAATGGCATGGTGCTAGGCTGGCAGGGGAGAGTGGTTGCTAAGCAGGTCAGGGGTGAATAAAGGGAAACAGATCTGAGGCCATGGTCCTGAATGCAGCCACAGGGTCTGTCTGGTGCTGCAGGCTGCAGCCACAACTCTTGCACTGACTGGCTTATACAGGACCCATCCCTGTCCCCTAGCATACTTCACGTGAATGATGCCACTCTTGCAAGTGGAGAAGAATGGTATGGGGAAGAGCACGTGTGGGCATGGGTAATGCTGGGAGATGGAGAGATGATTGATGGAAGAGAGACTGAGGGAAGGAGTGTGATGGAGGGAGAAGCAGAGAGGGAGAGCAAGAAAAGAGAGAGAACAGGGAGAGAGAGAAAGCAGACGGGCCAGGCAGATGACAGAGATAAGAGGGAAAAACAAATGCCAGAAAGAGAAAACTCTGAGAAAGATCGTAGAGAAATACACAGTAGAGAGAAATGGACGACAGAGAGAGACATGAATGACAGAGTAAGGGAAACATGATGAATAAGTAGATGACAGGGAGATAAATAGATGATAGATGATTTTCACTAATTTATTCACATTTACTGTGCTGGGCTCCATACTAGGCACTGATGGTACAGGGCTGGGTAGGCTGAGGGCCCCTGCCTTCCACAAGCTTGCTATATTGTGGGATAAGTCAGCTCTCTACCTCTCTGGAACAGTAGTGGACAGACTCAAGCTGGAGGATTCCATCCTGGCTGGAAATGCTCCTCACCCCAATGGAAACACAGAAGAGCCCAGCAGTGCAAGGCTCTAGAGGGCTAAGGCCCACAGAAGGGCAGTCCCGAGGAGACTGGCCTTGTGGGGAAAATGCAGATTGAGTGGTAACTGGTGAGACACAGACAAGAAGGTGTAGGAGGAAGGGCAGGGGAAGCTGATTGTCAAAGGTCAGCAACCAGAGCCATAGGTCAGCAGCAGTGGCTAAGATTGATGAGGAGGAAAGCCAGGTGAGGCTCCCAGCTTTGTAATCACATTGTTCTACTATGGGTTTCACAGTGCCCAGAAGGGAGGCTGAGGCACAAGGAGGCCTTGGGGGCTATGCTCGCTCCAGAGTCTCACACATGAAGCCATGCTGCTGAGAAAGCTCTCCCGCTGCTGTTATCGGCAGTCATCTGGTCAACAGCTATTTATCAAGTACCTACTAGTAGTAATACTATGGAGTACTAGGTACTATGTACCATGTGCATCTACTATGTACTGTGCTTTTTGGCACTGAAGATATAGTGGGGAACAGGGCACCTCCCCTATGCCTGGCCCTTCTTCCACATTCAGGATTTGTTAAGTTCTTCTGAGTCCAGTCTTTACAATGTGGGTAGTCAGCCTGGGTACTACCTTCTCTCCGACTGTTCAGTCCCATGCCAAGTTCTACTGAGTCTTCTTTTATGATGTTTTTCTGACCCTAGTTCGTTCTCTCTCCATCCTCACTGTGACCATTACACAGAATGACACCTCTCCTCCCAGAACCCACCCCCCGCCATTCTAGTCCAGGCCCTTGACAATTTATGTCCAAAATATTGCATCGGTCTGTCAGCTTGTCGCCCCTTGTTCCACCTCCAGTCACTGCTTTCAAATTACACCACGTTAAACATCGACTGAACTGGGGCAACTCTCCCTCCCACTCAAAAATCTTTACTCTATTTCTTACCCTGTCCTGCATCAAATGTAAACTGGATCAGACTTTCAAAGCCTTCTACAAATTATCTTTACCCACCCGGTTCAACTTTCCATGTCTCTGCTCCAACCACACCCTGTAACCAGCCCTGTCCCTTTCCGACTCTGTGCCTCTGCTGTGGATTTTCCAGTAGAATCCAGTACAGGTGCCAGAGTTGGATCACCTTGGTTTGACTCTCTGTTCTACCACTTATGAGCTCTGTTGCTTTTGACAGGTGACTTCACTTCTCAGAGGCCTAGTTTTCATGGGAGTAAAATGGGGATAATAGAACCTACTTAATGAGGTTGTTGAAAGGTCAAATGAGACAACATATGTCAAGTGCTTAGAACTGGGCCTGGCAAGCCCTCGACCAATCGTCGTTATCATTCTGACTGTTCCCTCTGCCTGGAATGTTCTCCGCTCCTTTTGTTAACCTAAATCCTACCTGCTCTTCAAGGTACTGCTTAAGTACCATCTCCTGCAGGGAGCTTGTTCTGAGTAATCTAGCCCTCACAATTTGGTCCCTAATAATATGATATTTTACATTGCTCATCATCATTACATGTATGTTATCTCATCCTACCAACTATGCCAAGACAGGAGGCAATGAGACGAAACCAGGGAGACACATCTAGGTTCAAATCCTAACTCTACCACTTTAGATGTATGTATGTGCAAGTCACTTAACCGGTCTGAACTTCGGTTTTCTATCTGAGAAAGGGAACAATAATCCTTACCTGGCTAGGTTATTGCAGGGATTAGAGATCATATTCTCAAAGCACCTGGGACACAGCCTAACGTGTAGCATGTGGTTACTAAATAGTAGATACTATAATAATGGTTATTAGCCCAGATTTGTCCTTTTTCATGGCTCAAGAGTACTCTCACCAAGGCTACTCAAATCTGTCCATCCACTGTCAAGGTTCTGCTATACCACTCCTTTCCCACGCTGAAACATAGCTTACAAAGGGTCTTTACTCTCTCTAGGGTTTCTCCAGGAGTAGGAAATAATCCCAAAGGAGGTAGAAGGGGGAAGTGGGGGCTTTTGGGACACTGGGAGAAAATCAAAGGGTGGGGGGAGAAAAATACATAGGGAACTGGAGCCAGAGCTGGAGCCTTCTAACCCTAGTTTGGGAAAGGAGAGGGAAGTATCTATAGGGTCTAATATTTGGCCTATTATTATTCCCAAATAGCCCTAGACTTGGAGTCAGTCCACACTTGCATTCAAATCCTAGTTGTGTGACCTTGGGCATGTCACTTCTCTGAGTTTACAGATTCTTTATCTGTAAAATGGGGAAGATAACCATCTCTTCCTCATGAGTTATGGTCTGGATTAAATGTAGTTCTATATGTGAAAGCAATCAGCATTGTATCTGCCATAGATATTCTATAAACCTTTAAAAAACAATAGGGACCATTTATCGACCACTTAAGATGTGCCAGGCACTAAGCACTTCACATGCATTAACTGGTTTAATCATCACTCCAATTTTACTCAGTAAGAGCCATTATTATCCCCACTTTAAAGATGGAGAAACAGAGATGCAGAAAGCTTAAGTGATTTGCCAAGAGCATGCAGCTAGTAATCGGCAGAGTCGGCATCAAGACTCAGATCCTCCAGCTCTTTCTACAATACCACACAACCCCTCTTCCCCAAAGAGAGCTCTATCTCAAAAGGCTTGTATACCTGAGGCATTCCATAGCCATTCCCTCAAGAAGCAATCAGAAAAGGAACATCTTAGTAGCTCTAGAGTTGAAACCATCCCCTCTACCTAGGGAAGATGGATGAGGAGAAATAAACAGAGAGGTGAGAAAATGCCAACTACCAACTATGTAGCTCTAGGATTAGATATGGAGGAAATGACCCCAGCACTTGCCCTTTCTTCTAAGGCCAGCTCAGGTACTATCATTAAACACACTCCCCATCATTCATTATTCCAAAATGCCTTTCTTCAGAAGGAAAAGGAAAGGGATATTGAAGAAAGAAAGCAGGACGGGAGGCAAGGGGGACAGCAGCCATGGCTACTGGCTGTACCTACCATGGAAGTTGCCCAGGGTGAAGAGATGGCTTAGGAGACAGCGGTGTATCCAGCTAGCTCAGATTCTCATTGACAACACTTCCAGCCAGCGTAATCCCTTAGCTGGGACCCGCCTGCCCTCCAGTCAAGACCTTCTGGGACAAGGGGCCATCAGCCCAAGATCCTAAATGTGATCCAAGGGGCTCAGGCACAGTCAGGTCTCAGTTCCAAGCACAGGAAGGAGCAGCATTGAAGGCAAGGTATGGCCATCAGCTTGCTTGGGCCTAGATGTGGCCACAGCCTTGGGAAATGAAAACCAGTGTCAAGAGCTGGACAGGAGTGAAGACGCTGGCCCAGGAACCAGCCAGCACCCTGGTGGCAAAGGAAAGGATGAAAGGCAGTTCCAGCAGCATAAACTGCCCCCCTGCTCCCTACTCCAACCTCCTCTGAGCCCTGGCCCACCCCCTCTACAGCTCAGAGGCCAATAAGGAAGCTGGGCCCCCAGCCACTGCTAGAACTCAGGAAAGGAGTAAGGAAATGATGTTTGGGAAAGATAAAGCGGGTGTCTAAAAAGAATTTTTAAAAATACACGTAAGTGAGAGA